AACTCCTGACCTCGTGATCCGCCCGCCTCGGCCTCCCCAAGTGCTGGGATTACAGGCGTGAGCCACTGCACCCGGCCCAGAGCTCTCTTTGGACACTAAACAGATCCCCTCATATCAAATCTAATTTCTTTACGATCAACTGCAGTCTACATTAAGGCTAACTGGAATTCCAGAGTGTAAAAGAGATAAGTGAATCAAATACTAAGGCAAGCATAAAGCCTTCCAGCTGGTACAGAAGAGATAAATGTTTAATGCATGATAATTTAATACAAACTGAATTGGGCCAAGATTTTTCAGAGCCACACAGCTAGCTAGCCTTGCTGAATTAGCATAAAAATTTATATTCTCTGCCTGCAGCCTTCATTCATATGCCTTATTTGGGTGACCAGTTCCTCCCCAGTTGTCTTTTCAAGGTCTTTGGAGAGATGGTCAGTTCCACACAACCTAATTAGCATCAGCTCACTCTCACAACCTATTAAAACTCGGAACAACAGGTTAAAATTGAGAAGAAAACAAGCTCAGACTGACACGACTCTCATATAAGAGGCAATTACACAGACTTCAGGCAAACAATGTAATTCTCCGCTGTTTCATCCGTACCTTCTGAGGCTCGGCTACCAGGTTTGACTCCCCATACGTTGTGATGTCTAATCCTTGGGCTTCCGGAGTGTCGCCATTCTGTTGTGCTGTCTTAGGTGGATGGCAAGGATAAGGTGAGAGGTCAGAGTTCCCAACTGGTCCCACGAATAAGTCATCAGAATCTTCATCATCACTGTCGGCAGCCTGGGCAAGAAACAGCTCTTTGAGTTTGGTGGAAGCTGCCAGAGGAGCTTAGAAACACCCCTGAATTAGACTCCGTGTTTACAAAGCAAGAAGAGACCACCTGATAGTTCACTGAGTGAGTTACACTGTGATGAACTTCTAGGTGCCTCTAATTGTCATCCTGTTTTACATAAACCCCTATTAGAGAGGTGTCTTGTTATCAACCTAAGACCCTTTGAGCAGGAGTTAAAAGAAATTCAATAATCATAATTGTCACTATGTCCCCCCTTCAGCTTCTAACTGATTTAGGATTTCATTTTACAGAAAACATTCCTCAAATACCAGAGATATGACCTGCACATATCACCCAAGGAAAGCACAGGAGATTGCTGGGGCCATCTGGTCAGTAGCAGGGGTACCACCCAGAAACCAGTGAGAAAGTCATTTTCGGGATCACATCCAGAGTGAATGTATCAGCATCTAGGGGCAGGGGTGGGGCTGGGGGACACAGGTCAGGAGTCAGTCTTTAAATAGGCTCCCTGGGTGATCTGTATATAAGTTAAAGTTTGAGAAGCACTGGTCAAAAGGTCAGTCTGGATTTTCACTAAAATATAACAGCCTAACTCTCTTCCAAGTAAGAATATAAGGTGAATAAATTTTTTTTCCAGTTCTTTTCTCCCTTTCCACATACAGGGGCGCAGATGAAGCCTATTTTTCCAGTTTCAGTTACCTGTATCAGCCATCTCATCAGTAGACTCAGAGAAGGGATATGGACATTCTTTAGTCTAAACCATGATCTAAAGATTGGGGATGGCTTGTACAAGTTCCCAACAAGCTTGCAATATGAGAACTACATTCAGAGCTAGAAACCTGGTCACTGGAGATACACCCCGAAGACTTATTTTTTGCCACACCAGATCACACCACCTTCACATGTCTATGTGTTTTGTGTACCTGGCCAAAATACTAGCTCGTAAGAGGACAAAGTGTTTATATTCCTTTGAAATCCCACAACAGCCAATATTAGTACTTTGTAGCAGAGGCTAAACACTCATTCACATGCTGACGCATTCACTCCAGTGTGGCCATTTGCTTCCTGCATGTAGGATGTGAGGTAGGGCAGGCCGAGGGTGAGGCTGTTTCCTCGACTCTGCTCAGCTCCCAGCACTGGGTGGACGGCAGACCCTTCACCCAGAAAACCTCTATTGGATTCAAAATTTCCAACAGTCTCCTGCCATATAAAGTGGGGACATGGGAAGCAGAGAAAAATGACTCCCTGGCTTAGAAGGGAGGACACAGCCCCTTTCCCCCTTCACCTGTAATCCAGGGCAGAAGTTGGAGGTGTCGTTAGGGTTGTTGTAATCATAGTCTTCAATTTCCTCATAATGCTCAGTCTCTGCCCTTCGGCCCTGGGCCATCTTAAGTAACTAAAGGAAAGAATAAATGCAGAAAGCAATTTTTTAAAAAGCTACTGAACAAGTTAGAGAAATAAACCTTAATTCTTATGCCCAGTCTCCTCCTAGAATTATACAATTTTAGCGTCAGAAGGGCCCTCCCAAGTCATCCAAGTCTAACAGACTTTCCACTGCACAGTGCAAACCTGGAGTAGCAGGGCTCGGCGTCTCTACCAGTCCCAAACAAACCAGAGCAGCTCTACTTCTGTGGCACTGGCGCTTAGGCCTTCTGCACAGTGTTACTTGAAAAAGAGTTCCTTCACTAAAAACAAAAGTTGGAAAATCTACCCTCCGGCTTTCTGAAAGTCAACTTGGTGCACTTGAACAATTTTGATAGAAAACCCATTACCTTGGATCATGAGTAAGGCAACCTCACTATATAAAGCAATTGGTGAGTAAATCCACAACTTTAACAAGAAAGCAAAGGAATCAGTCGGGCACGGTGGCTCACACCTATAATCCCAGCACTTTGGGAGGCTGAGGCAGGTGGATCACCTGAGGTCAGAAGTTCGAGACTAGCCTGGCCAACATGGTGAAACCCCATCCCTACTAAAAATACAAAAAATTCACCAGGCATGGTGGCAGGCACCTGTAATCCCAGTTACTTGGGAGGCTGAGGCAGGAGAACTGCTTGAACCCGGGAG